TGTTCTTTTGAACTCCCAGATATCAATGAAAAATTAATAATAACAAAATTATATGAAATTTTTGAAGAGTAACCAAAATCATTAGAACAGAAGGAGATCATAAGGAACAAACTGAACGAATTAGGTTAAATATTAAGATTATAGATCGAAAGCAAATACTAATCATATCAAACTAGTTGTCTACCTGTGCAATGCGGCGGGATGTAAAGATTCTATCAGGATATATTCAACTTTTAAATATCATTTTTTTGCAAAATATCTTTGAAATAGTACGGGGTTCACATCTCTATCAAAATCTAAAAATGAAAAATTAATGCAATTTCTCATTCAGAAAGTCTAAAATTTATGTTTAAACAAAATAGAAATTAGAATCATTCTTTAATCGTACGCAATCATCATTTAAAATTTCTTGATACACCACATTTGATGTGTAGACTTCTTCGATTGGACTTTTTGATAGGTTTTACTAATACCTTTGTATTATCACGTGATATCCCTATGGACAACGCCACGTAAAGTTGGCCGTGCGAGAATACTGATTTTGGTAGACAAACACTTACCATCGGAATTGTCTGTCCTTGAGCTTTATTGATTGTCATGGCAAAACACGAATGGGTAATTGTTTTCTCTTTAATTTAAAGGAAAACATGTCATCTTCAGACGGACATAGATGAATCCTTGGTAAAAATAACCTCTTACCAACATGCTGACCAATAACTATTTCTGCATCGATAACATTCTGCTGAAAACCTCTGCATATCAACCTCGTGCTGTTACAACAATCCATTTGAGGGGTCGATATTCCACAATAATATTATCGAACATCCAATTTTAAGCCAGAGGTAATGAGGGGGCAAACCGCTAACAGTTAGTGAGTTTAAGAATTCAATCGGATATAAGTTATCCTTATCATCTTCTGCTTTGTCAAAATTATAGTAAGTTTTTTCCTCTTAGTAGAATCTTCCGATCAACTGATCATTAATTTTGTCGACATGCTCATTTTTAGTTGTTAATATCGCCATCGAAATGATATAATCTGAAGTAGTCTCGCAGGTTTGAAGAAAAGAAAAGATTGCATCAATCAAAGCATCATTCGATTCATTTTTATTGGTGTACGGAATGGCCATGTCATCAGGTATGCGAATAAAGTTTTCGTCTACTGATTCTTCATCTCCATCGTCGACATGTAACAGAAAATCCAAAAACCATGATCAATAAGTGCTCTCATATTGATCGTTAATCGCAACTTTTTAATCGAAGACCAAATAGATGACATCCGTAGGCTAGAATCTACGATCTGTGCTCGAGTGCAATGTCTCATTACTGTCAACACTTGTCTAAAATCACCTCCCATAATCATTATTTTCCCACCAAATGGGAGTCTCACCCCAGTGATGTCTTGCATTGTTCTATCTAGTGCCTCTACTACCTGCCTCTTTGCCATTGATGCTTCATCCTAGATGATTATTTTTGCAGCTCGGAGTAGTTGAGCAGTTCTGCTTTGTTTTTTTATATTGCACACCGAATTATTAGTAAGAGTAAGGGGAATCTTGAATCGAGAGTGAACTGTTTTTCCCCAAGCATTTTATTAGCAGCAGCACTGGATGAAGCGGTTGCGAGAGCAATAAGTCCATGGGAATGAACATTAGCTAGCAAAGCTTTATACAAAAATGATTTCCCAGTTCCACCTGGCCCATCTACAAAAAACGCACCTGGACAATTATTATCTACATGTCTCATGATCTCATCTAATCATGTTTCTGGTCAGAGTTTAGAAAGTTTTGGGCATGTAAGTCTTCGTCTTGTACAATTATGGAGTACTCCTCTTGTACCTGATGTAATCCTCGTGATTCTAAATTGACAGCTGCATTTATACTTGGAAGATCAAAATCATCGAGGTTCTTACCCATAGATTGTAAAAAGACTGCGATGTCTGTATGAATCATATTTTGGACTCCCTCAACATTTTTCGTAGTGTCATCTATAATCTTTAGAGAGTGAATCATAATGTTTATCCCATAACTTGCGAACATCTCCCGACTCACAATAAATCAAGATCGTCTCGAATAATCGTCTAAGAGCATTGGGAAACTGAAATAAGGAGGCATCAGCAAGACAATGCCATAAATTATCGTCGGTCTCTATTAACACTCTCTCAAGAGCTGCTTTTCGAAATATCGGATGTAATATGCTATTAACCGTGTAAAGATCTTCAAAGCACGTGGGCCCACTAATATGAGACAGAAGTAGGCGTAGATAATATCGTTCTCCTTCGGCAGACTTAGCATAAACCTGTCGTTCTCTCATTGATAATTGTTTTCAACGATTCCATTTACGTGAACTGGCATTACATGTGTAAAGTTTCATAAAATCTTTGTATAAATATTGTTTCGCAATCATATCTGTTTTATTCCTCTCAAAAAATGAGGTCAACATTGAGTTCTTATCCCTCTCTCTATCAACAATAACTGTCATTATATCATTCTCTCTAAACCTAACCAACTGCTTATTCGGAAGATGGACTTGCAAAGCCATCACATAAGGGTAGATTTAAGAAAGTGTAAAGCTAAAAATCCGCCAAATCGCTTCAGGTGGCGAAACATATCGTGCATCTTGAAATCTCTTTATGTCGTTAACAATGACCTCTTGTCTATCAGGATTCACATGAATAACCTGTTTGTCATGACCCTTATAAACAAACTTGACGACATATTTCATAGATATTATAATTGAGCAAACCTCAACATTGATGTGACAGTATATGGGACCACCCATCTATTATCAAGGATATTTCTTAGTCTCAACTACATTGTTTAGGCTCTTATTATAACAATGCCTGTTGCATAGAAATCCTATATTTTTATTGAGTACTAAATGTAAACACATTCTCAATTTACTTATATTTTTCCCTTAGAGTTGATAATTAATGCTTTTGGTTCATTATTTATTTTGTAGTTTGTTGTGGATATGAAGTATAACCTGGACCAACTTATATCCAAGCTTTTAATTTGTATTTTCTGTTGGCAACTAAAGATTTTCCAAACCTTAGGGAAGCAAAAACATAAACATAAACCTACGATATTTAGATATTGGTGTTAGCCCACATCTATTCTTTCTTGGTTCTACCTTGGACTGCTTGCCACCCCTGTTGTTTCTTATCTTAAGTCTTAACTTATCACTGACCCCTTGTGAACAAAGTCAGAGCTTCGACTAGCTTTTTGGGATAAGAATCACCAGTACTTTGTTATGACTCATGACTTTGCATTTTGTAAAAACAATCTTTCCTTTAGTGGTATGTATGATGAAGTAAAAATAGCTCCTGGTGTAAAGTGGATAAGCTTCAGTCATTGTGGGTTCATAGTAGAATATGATGTTTGGCCTTCAATCCACAATTGTGCCATCTTATTAATCCCTCTTAGCCGGCTTTTTGGTAGATGTAATTTAATGAAGGAAGATGCTAAATTAGGTATTGAACATAATTCCTGGAATTTTGTGGGTTCTCCATTTTTACAAATGTTGCAGGACCATCCCACAAGAGTTGAGTTAGATGAACAACTACCCCGATGATAAATCTGATTTCTTTGTAGAAGTTGAGATGAAAAGTACATAACAAATAAGGCATTCTTGGTTTCAAACAAAAATAAGATGGAGCAGAAGATTTATTACCCTCTTGAATCTTTTCCAACTATTGGCCATCTATTGTCGATTCCATTGCAATAACGTTATGAGGCTTTGATTATGGCTAATCTGGATATCATATTGTTCAATTATCAACATAAGCTAGTGGTAAAATCAGTTTAATAAGGTGATTGTCTTGGGAAAAAAGTGCATGTCCAAGGGGATCTCGTATGGTGGGTACTGTGAGTCTGTAACTATCTTATTATATTCAAGTTGCAGCAAAGTACTTATGCTTTAGTTACATCCTCTTAAGCATATCATTTAGTCAATTTTACCTAATTTTATTTTCCTTTTTAGTTTTTGAGATACGGGTTTCTGTATAAGTTAACCGTGTACATATTTAGAGATACGGATGAACAGAAACAGAAAGGAGCGATGGAATCAAACAGAAACAAAAACAGAAAGGAGGAGCGAGTGTTTTTACCTGATTCGAACGACGGATGAACAAAAACAGAAACGGAAGATGAGCGATGGATGAACAATGGAAGGGGAGCGATGGATTGGTATATATGAGACGACAACGATGGTCTGAATCGTCATCTTGGGGAGATCAATCTGAATCGTCATCTTGGGAAGGTAAAAGCAAAACTGAGACGGTAGCGATGGATTGGGAAGGTAAAAGCAAAAGTGAACGATAGGAACCTAAAGAGATGAAACGACAGTAAGATTTTATTTTATTTTAATTAATTTATTTAAGATAAGATAAGACTTTTATTAAATTTGATTAATAAGGTAGTATAGATGTATACGAAAAAAGAACCTGATCATGTGAGCGGTACCTCGGTAGCTGGAATCGACATTTGAGTATGAATCGTTTCGTGGGAGCCGATGCATTTTTTGGGAGCGGCAATAGCATTTAGTGTAGGAAGGGGGAAGCGCAACTGAATCAACGGGTTGTACTTTATGCATAAATACTTGTAATTAAGAGTTTTTTTGTAATACTTCGTGCTTCATATGTGGTTTTTAAGACTTTATATATGCATCAAATAATACTTTATGCATTTAAAATTGTATTTAAGACTTTTCTTAGATCTGATTTATAAGGTAGTATAGATATACATCAAATAGTAGTACCTTATGCATTTATAATTGTATTTAAGACTTTGGTTTACAAGGTAGTATAGAAAATGATCATTATTTTTTAAAAAATTTGAATTTACTTCTGCTTTGAGAATTTGAAGCGTTTGATTCCAAAATTTTCATTACCACAAATGTTGGGTAGGAAAATGAAAAGACAATGGTCGTTTATATAAACCAGTTTGCTGGAAATGAATCAATCCATCGGTCACCCCTTCAAGTTTTATTTGCTCCGAGCAATATATATGGCGTTTACGGTTGGCATTGATCTTGGAACTACATACTCATGTGTTGCAGTTTGGAGACACAATGGCGTAGAAATCATACTCAACGAACAGGGAAACAGAACTACACCTTCTTGTGTTGCTTTCACCGATTTCGAACGCTTTATTGGTGATGCCGCCAAAAACCAGATAGCCGTGAATCCGATCAATACCGTTTTTGGTAAGTCCATCATGAACTGAATAATGGGTGTATTTTGTAAAGATTTAGGATTATGGATGATAATGTTATTTTATATATGCTATCTTTTCTTTTACAACAGAAGACATTGAATAATGGGTAAAGATTTAGGAGTACAGATGATGATTTAGTTGTTTCTAACGTTTTATTTTTTCAGATGCCAAGCGGTTTATTGGAAGGAGATACAGTGATGAGACGGTGCAGGCTGACAAGAACTTGTATCCTTTCAAGATTGTGGAAGGACTTGGTGACAAGCCAATGATCTCGGTTACATACAAAGGGGAAGAAAAGGATCTCGGTTACATACAAAGGGGAAGAAAAGCGTTTTTCAGCAGAAGAAATTTCATCTATGGTTCTTTCCAAGATGAAGGAGATATCTTCGTCTTATCTTGGCACAACTGTTGAAAATGCAGTAATTACAGTTCCAGCTTATTTTAATGATTGGCAGCGCCAGGCAACAAAAGATGCTGGCATGGTTGCTGGGCTAAATGTTTTACGCATTATTAATGAGCCTACAGCAGCTGCAATTGCATATGGTTTGGTGAACAAAGATGATATATCGACTCAGGAGATAAATGTTGTTATCTTTGATTTGGGTGGGGGTACATTTGATGTGTCTCTTGTAACTATTTCCGATGGTGTATTTGAGGTCAAAGCCACGGCTGGTGACAGTCGTTTGGGTGGTGAGGACTTCGATAATGCACTAGTGACCCACTTTGTTGAGTTGTTCAAGAGGAAACACAAGAAGGACTTGAATCAAAATCCCAAGGCATTAGGGAGATTGAGGATTGCTTGTGAGAGAGCAAAGAGGATTCTTTCATCAACTACTCGGACATCTATTAATATTGATTGCTTGTATGATGCTCATGATTTTTCGAGCGTGATCACTCGGGCGAAATTTGAAGAGATAAATATGAATTTTTTCAAAAAGTGTGTAACAACTGCAGGTAAGTGTTTGAGTGATGCAAACATGGATAAGAAGAATGTCGATAAAGTGGTTCTTGTTGGTGGCTCCACTAGGATTCCTAAAATACAACAAATGTTGCAAGATTTCTTTGATGGGGTCGAGCTATGCAAGAGCATCAATGCGGATGAAGCTGTTGCGTATGGTGCAGCTGTTCTTGGAGCCAAGTTGAGTGGCGAGGGTGACGAAACAGTGCTAGATCTGCAGTTGTTGGATGTGACTCCTCTCTCACTTGGTATTCAAACGCGTGGTAAAATCATGACTGTTCTGATTCCAAGGAACACTCCAATACCCACAAAGATAGAAAAGGTTTTTTCAACCTCATCCGACAACCAAACTTCTGTTTTGGTTCGAGTATATCAGGGTGAGAGGACAAGGTGTAAGGACAACTGTTTACTTGGTCAGTTTAAGCTTTGTGACATACCAATGGCTCCAAAGTTTAAATCCCTCGTTAATGTTTGCTTTGACATTGATGCCAATGGTATCTTGAGCGTGTCAGCTCGTGAAATGGCAAGTGGTCAGAGTAACAAGATTGCAATCATCAATGATAGAAGTTTGTCAAAAGAGGAAATTGAAAAGATGGTGAAAGATGCTGAGAAATTTCGAGTTGAAGACCAAGAGCATGCAAAGAAGGTAGATGCCTACATTGGTTTGCAGCAATATGCTTACTGCATGAAAAACAAAATCAAGGGTCCATCGGTGATTTCTAGGCTGCAGTATCAAGACTTGAAGAAATTGGAGAGTTCGATTGACCTGGCTATTATTTGGCTTGATGCAAATCCTGATGCTGAGTTCCTAGAGCTTGTAAAGCTGAAAGATCTTTTGGAAACTGTATTCAACCCCTTCATTGGTCAGTTATATGAGTAGAATACATTTTTATTGTGATCATGTTAAAATGCGTAGCACTGTTCAACTAAGTATATGTCTTTTGGCCAAGTTATTATAATTTCTGTTTGTGGATTGGGTTGGGTTTTGTTTTAGATGATGAAATTAGGAGAGTATCAGATTAATCCTTGTATGTTTTTATCTCTTCTTAATTAATTTAATTCCGTCGTTCAAAAAGCGTCATTGCAAGAAAAATGGGCTCTAAAAGTTATAGCGACACTTCATCAAGATGAAAAGATGTGTTTTTTTAATAACTCCGTTTTGGATTCTATTATGGATGTGATTTACTGAATGTTGGTAATTGAAGCTTCCTTTGACAATGTCACAGCTACCTGATGTTGAAGGATCAAACAAAAATCAATGTCAACTTACAAGAACTCCTTACGGAAGACGCTTTATAAACGAGGTTTGCATCAAGTAAATGACCTCTGGTAATCTTCTTATTGTTATTTTTATGGTGGTTGATTTTATTCTCTAGAGTTCATGAACTAGGTATACACATGTTATTTTGGTGCTTTTTATTTCAGGTTCTAATGTTGACATATGATGACTCGATGAATCTGCGAAACATTTTGTGGTTAGCTCCTTTGCCGAGTAATTTTCCAGCGGTTGGTCTGCACCTTGTACCTCATTTAACCAATCTAATCGAGTGACAACACTCGGCTTTATCTTTGTGAATTGAAACTGCTTCTTTTGGCGACTAGCGGAAACTTCTGAAGCTTTAGTGTTGTATGCTTATCAGAATTTTCCCCGTGTGCATTCTTGAACTTGAACTTTCCTACAACTTATTAGGATATTTTTCACAACATCATAATTGGTCTGTGGTTAGTTCTTTACTTTTCATATCCGAGGTCTTGTGTTCAAGTCATGTATTGAATTTTTTTTCTTCAGAAACATAATAAATCTGAAATTAAAAGCTAAAAACTAAGAAAATGACATCTTAGGATTCGAGCTTGGGTCTAGTGTGGAAGAAAAGCCTTGCAAACCATACGGTACCAATGAAAACTTGTGTCGTTATTATATTTTCAAAATATATATTGGTGGCATACAACAATTCGTTTCAGTTGCACCTTTCATGAACCTAATTTTTTTACCCTTCAACAGAGGAAGAGTCGGTGGCACCAAGGTGGGCGCGTCCATGCTTCGTAGTGTGATATGTTCTAACTTATCATCCTTTATTCTGGAATCCTGTTAAACTCCTGTTTAAACATAGCATCTTGCTTTATTTATTTCCTACGAATGGGGAGTCAGGTTGTTTAGTTATTTCTGTAAGAGAGCTATTCTAATTTCCAACACATCCTGCATGCAATGTCTTCCCTTTATTAATGGAATATAGATGCATGTAGATGTGGTTCTTTTGTTCTTCAATGTTGTAGAAGGTCCTAACAACTATTTGGGATCTAAATCGGATAATAAGCGTGATCAACGAATTAACACCAACAACGGTTAAGAAGAATCCAATCACTACGCAATGAACATTCTACTATCGAAAGAAATAAAATAAGACGAGGATTTAATGTGGTTTCACTATCGATACGTCCACGGATAAGAAAAGTGTGATTCATCATATACTAATATCCAAAATAGGTTGGAAAGAGTTTTTACCAATTACAAAGATCAAATACTTAAATATCTTGACAAAACCCTAACACTAATAATCTTGGATCCATAAAGAAATAAATATCTTAAATAATACAAGTTTGGGAACATTGTTTAATGTTGTTGGGACCGATATTGAGTTGAGGTGGTTGATGCGTAAAGTTTTTCAAGCCAAACATGCTCATATCTTCGTAAGTCATATAATAAAAATATATTTATTATCGAGCATAAACCAATAAACGAGTTAATCGATCGCAAATTCAAGCCATTAGACGAGCATAAACTGATAAATGAGTTAATCGATCGTGAATTTAAGCCCTTAAACAAGTATCTAGCTCGATAATTCAAAAAATATTCGAGCTTGAGTCCTATTTTGAAAAACGTTATTCAAGTCAAGATAAAGTGTGGTATTATTTTTCCGGACCGAGTTTGAATAACCTATTACTCGATTTGCTTACACCCCTCGTCATGGCAGTAGGATGAGAAAGTTCAATTTATACCGTTCATTAAAATTAGGTAGTCAATATTATTTAAGGGACTATTCACTAAAAACGTGTGAGCAAAGGTTGATTAGGATAAGAGACCTGATTGAGATAAAAATGTCTGGTATAAAAAAATTCTTTATTACCAAAATGTTTTGAATTAAGTATTTTTCAAATTAAAATGACTATTATATCCTTATATAATAAAATTTCATTAGATAAATTTAAAATTATAACAAAAAACATTAAATATTATTTTTCAAAGATGATAAAATAATGATAAACCAAGTGCAATGGTAATATTTTTGTTATCAATAATTACTATAGGGCCCATATCAAACCTTTAAGATTTGATGTAACCACAATGGTAGTGTAAGATTGGTTTGAGTTTGATTCCAAAGGTTAAAAATACAAGGAGGTCTCATGTTCAAATTCAAGCAGGAATAAAAATCCCCTTATGTCCACGGAGGTTCAAATGCGGTGACTCCAGGATATCTGCAAAGTAGGTGATCTCCTTGGGATTAATCAGCTCGCATAGCGAGTTGGATATCCAAGTTAATAGAAAAAAAAAGATTGATGCATGCATGCAGCAACAAGAAAGGAAAAAGCTAGAGATTTGACAAAATCTAGACTTGTAACTTTAACTTTATTCCAAATACTTTTGATTTGTTACTTCTTCTTTCTCACGATTTACTCATGTGAAATCTCAATGTACGTTAACGGTGGAACTTCAGTTGAGGGGGATCTTTTCCCTTTTCTCCACTTTCTATTGCAGATATTGTTAGGATGGCTGGTACTGTCGTGATGTTGGCATAAAACGTCAATCTATGGCATCAGAATTGTTCACCCACATACAAAGAGGAAAGAAAAAACTATGGTTGAGAGGTAGGCTGACTAGAATCGTATAATAAAGAAGGCATAAGTGAGAAAACTTCATTTCTAACCTTGATAAGATATATTGCTATGTGTGACACTGGTTGGTAAGAACACGGTTAGCTATTGGAGAAAAAAAAAAGAGATTTGGTTAATAGTCTACTTCTTATATGTATTAAAGCTGTTTATCGGGTTAGAGCTAGCAAGAAGCAAGCAAACAACCCCTTGATGATATATGTGTTAAATAAACTTATTTCACATGATAAAATTATTGATATATCATTTTCACGAATTTAACCACGGTTTTAAATAAATATACATAACAAAAAAAAAATATGCTTGAATTAAGCTTGCTTTCTATTTTATCTTATTCTAAATATGTTTTGGAATGTATTTATTCTAATACAAATAATCATAGATACATATTTTTACTATATTATAAATATTTGATTAAAAGTTTAAGAAAATAATATATTAAACATTATCTAACGTTTATTAATATAAAATTTCTTAAATTTTAAGTTTACAAGTAATTGTTGCATATTTACTTAAAGTTAACTAATAAACACGTTCAAATACAAAATAATAAAATAATTAGTGAGTCATTTAAATATAACAAAATATTTTATTATTATCTTTATATAAAAAAAATATCATCCTTAAAATAAAAATATAAATGAAATCTTTATTTTTAAATCTAAAATGTAAAAAAACAATAATAATGGCTTGAATTAAACAAATTATTCCAATTTTTTTTATTTGATATCAATCTAATTTTATTACAATCTTTTTAAGGTCTTCAAATTAACAAAATAAATTACCTATCATCTATAGTTTTTATTAGTTTAAAAATGAAGTTTTAAAAAAAAAAAAGTTACTTAAGTTTTAATACAAAATCTTACATGTTCTTGCATTTTACATGTACACAAGTACTTCAACAATAATCAATATATATAAAGTTGATTAATCATAATTATTAATTTTTTAATAATTATGAGAGATTGATTAATATTTTTTATTGTGCATGGTGTTAATTATAGATATTATCATCTTCATTATATTATTTTTAAATAAATACATGAAACAATTTCATTAAAATTTCATAAGTGTCATATGAAACAATTTCATAATCATATATGAAACAACTTCATCTAGAAAAATATTATATGAAACAATTTCATAATATGCAACAATTTCATTAAATAAAATCATTAAATTAAATAATAAAAATGACTAATAATGATGGTTTGTACAGTTTGTACAAATATGAGTGGTTTGTATTTGATCACTTCTCTCTATATATAATATGTATTAATCACACACACACACATATTACATATATATAACAAGATTTTATTTGACATGTATTTATTATTTGATTTCATATATTATTTACACTAAAAATCATGCATGCATTGGGTAGTTATCATATTTGATATAAAATTTATTAGGGTGGCAACAAAATAATTTTTTCAAACACTTATTTTGATGATGACAACATGTTGTCACCTGTTCGTCAAAGTGAACACCTTAGCAAGCGTGGGCCAAGGATAATGCCAAGCTAGACACATCATGATGGTTCTCTTGTCCATAACACACATCATGATGGTTCACTGTCCATAACACACATCATGATGGTTCTCTTGTCCATAACACTAGAAGTTTTAATCAGAGCTTTCATTTTCATAAAAGACTAAATCATATGACTAATTAACAATTGGACTTTCACAACAACTCGTGGCGATTGGTTATTTAAGCGTCGGTGGATGGGGAGTTGGATGATTGTCGTCCCCAGATGAACGAGTATAAGGATGTGACACTTTCATGGTTATCCTTAAAATCATTTTCGTCACCAACTCTTTCTCCTCCTTTTCGTCTCCCACTAACTTAGAGGTTGTTTGATAGAAACCGAATGATTAGATGGTTTTAGAGGTTGTTTCATAGAAACCGAATGATTAGATGGTTAGAATGATTAAAAGATGCTACGTGATTTAATAAGAAATAAAAAATGACTCTTTGGTAAATGTT